TCTCAGAGATACTGAAAGTGGTTCCACCCTGTGACAAAATCAAATCTCGGAAACAGAAGTGTGAATTCAATAGATATCAGAGGTCTGTGACTATCCACCACTTGCATTTTGATTGTTTTGGAAAGTGTCTGAAAAGTTGGTTGGTAGGCAATTAGACAGGCTTCAGCAGGCCATTGAGGATAGACCCCTCCCTCATAGCCAGCTTTGGACTCTACCTCTCATTTATTTGTCCACAGGAAGGCTTATTCATCTGGAGATATGCTAAGGGGATGGGAGGAATAATTATCCCTGCAATGAGATAATGTATTTCTTGGGGGCAGTTGCTTATAGAGCATCTCTGAGATCCAACTAAAAAACCCAACTTTACCTCTATTTCTCTCTTCTTCACATGCCAGCCCAAATCCTAAGCATGTGTGCCTTGCCCAGACACTGTAGGATTCCTGTTTTCTCTGAATGACACCCGCCTTCTATAGCTGCTTGTCAACCTCACTGCTGACTCTACCCCAAAAGGGGTGACTTTCTTTCTTTTACTTTCTCTATCTTCTTCCTCCTGGCAGATGCCAAGATTTATAACTTGCCTGTCCTGTTATTTTAATCTCAAGTGCTAATAAAATGCCCATTAAGCTCCCTTCTATTGGTCTTTAATAGTCTTTAATCAACAAGACAAAAACCTCATAAATGGGAATCCTGATTCCCTCACTAACATGTCCAACCAGCACAGAATTATCTCTTATTGTGCCTTCTTCTTGGTGATGTCAGAGTCCCTTGCTTATGGTAGGGACCAGGGTGATGAGGGTCTATGGTCAATGCCATGGTTGATGCTGTGAAAATGGATATCATCTGCTCTCCCCTTACCCCCGATGCGATGTCCAGTGAAATGAGGAGCAAGGCTGGGTTGAGACCTGACTGCTCATTCAGCTGGAAGCCTCAGTGGAAATTTCCTTTCTCCTGACTAATTACCATCTGACCAGACAATGGAGATTTCCTTTTCCTGTAACCAATGGTTGCATTTTAAAATGCCTTCTTCAAACTTTTCAATAATAACAATAGCAGGGCATTGAATCACATATGTATGGACTTAACTGAGGCATTTCCTCTCAAGGTAGCAGTGGAGTGTGTTGGGTTTGTGGGGTGGGGAGCATTTTCCTATCCCCATGTTGTGTAGCTATTTCCTTTAGGATTGCAAACGCAAAATTCCCTTGTGGAGGGAAGGATGAAGGAAGCTCAATAAACACATGAAAAACTTATAGATTCACCAGGTCCTTTTCCAAGATCCCATCAGCAGCAAAAACTTCTGAGGGCCATGACATCCCTCAGTGCTGTAGCTGCCTGCAAGTTGCTCAGGGAAGTCTCTGATGAAGCTTTTGTGAGTCTTTATCTGTGCTAGGGTGGGACTTTTTGGTGATGCAGCAGCCTGTAGGTGACTGCGATAAATCCACTGGCTCTCTAATGTAGACTCAGAATTATTTTATTTGTCTGAGTCTATCATCATCCTTCTATCTGGGACAAAAAGACACATCTCTTAGATGCTGTGTGACTGTTTCATCTGAATTGAAACCATACCTCCTAAAGGGAGGTTCCTTAAGACTCAGAAGGCAAGTAAAACTTTCGAGAGTAAAACTCACAACTCTCAGGAAGTTCCTGAAATTTACAAGACCCATAAGGCCTTGCCCCTAGATTATGTAAGCAGTAAGGATTGGTGGAGAGAGAACTCTCTGGCCTCTGAGCTACCTGAGAGTCTTGGAGGAAGCTCCAGAGACGTAGTTTTCATGAGTTTTCTCCCATGCACCTGTAACACATCCTCAGTCATGCTCCTGTAAGCAACTTCATAAACTAACTTGCTCACTTAGGTGGAGTTGTTTCCTTTTGTATGGCATCAGTGCCTTATCTGGAGTGAGTAGATATTTATTCACTACTCCCCTGGAAAGTATTTTTGTTTGTTTGTTTTTTGAGACAGGGTTTCTCCATGTAGTTTTGGTGCCTTTCCTGGAACTCACTCTGTAGACCAGGCTGGCCTTGAACTCACAGAGATCTGCCTGGCTCTGCCTCCCGAGTGCTGGGATTAAAGGTGTGTGCCACCACCACCCAGTCGTAGAATATTATTTTATCTAGGCAAAGATGTGTTACATTTGTTCATGATGCATTTTCTAACTATGTAAAAATATGTTGCAATTGAATTAATTAAATAAAATTAATCTGTGCTCAGAGAGGCGGGGTTAGTAACTGGTTGACAGGAAGTAGCAGGGAGGAGCTTAGCATGTTGTTTTGTGGGGGGCAGTGTGAAAGGAAGTGGTTTCCAGGGACACCAGCAAAGACAGAAAGTTAGCCCGTTGCTGCTCTGACTCTCTGAGCTCACAGGTTCTCACCCCAGCCTTTGAATCTCAAGTTTTATTAGAACAACAGAGATTTAGTTAGAACTACCGGTAGTGGCAACTACAGAGCCATTGTCTGGGGGAACAGAATTTCCCCCAGCTGTGGCCTTAGCAGCTGGGCACTAGCAGTTTAAAGTGCAGCCACCGTGGCTGGGGTTTGAAAAATCTCAAAGTATTGGCCTTAGTTCTTTTTTGAAGTTCGGGTAGAAGAACTTCTTTGGATGAGAGGTACCTGGAATAAAAATGGGTTCTATGAGTATAGGATGTGATACTGGTTACTTGTCCTGCCTCTCTCCATTCCCTGCTTGGGAGGCCCCATATTGAGGAGGGAAGGGGACAGGTCTCCTGCCCATGTGATCCTTCACTCTGTTTTGCACAGTAGCTGCCATGTTCCAACTGTTGGAGACAGTGAAAACCATGAGAATTTTATTTTTCTATTACTAGTAGTTGAAATGTAGGTGGATAATGCTGGGGAGAGGGTGAGGAGAAACAGGGATGAAGGGTTCTTACTGCTTATTCTTGGCAATGATTTAGAGAGGAAAAGGCAGAGTTGAATGGTCAGAAGCCTGGATTTCCATCCTCCTATGATCCCTCCTCCTGCAGCTGGAAACTGGCTACCTTTTCTGAACATGTTCCATTTTGGGGTCACTTGATGGACCTTTCAAGATAAACCAATGCTTGGGCTGTATCCCCAGAGGTTCTGACTCAGTTGCATTATGCAGTAATTTCCTCTGTGTTGAAGCATCCAATCTAGGAAGTAAGCAACTCACAAGTGTCAGGAAGTCCCTGAAACATACTAGATTCATAAGGCTCCTCACTTTCCAAGGTTATATAAGTGGTAATGACTGCTGAGGAGAGATGACTCTTCAATGTGTTGAGTTGCCTGCAAGTTGTGCAGAGAGTTCCATAGTTGCAGCTTTTGTGGCCTGGGCTCTGGAATTCTTAATTGCTCCTTGATAGTGTTAAAAAGGATGAGAGCTGAGAACTGTGTCCCGAGGCCTGTGGATCACAGAGGTAGAGCTGTGTTCTCTTCTGGTGGCTCCACAGTGGCTCCCACAAACCCAGAGTTGGCAGATGTTTTCATTTTCCCCCTTCCTTCAGAGCTGTGATCCTACCTTGAACCCAGGAGCTATAAAGATGCCTCGGGATGTGGGCATGCTTGAGTGATCTGGGCCACCCAGTTCATCCCAAGCACAGCCAAAATAATTCACGGGCAGGTCTTCCTCTTCCAGGCACCAATGATATCTCTCAGAAGGTACAGATGGGGGTTGGGGTGGGCTTGTGGCATCTGGAAATTACTGGTCCATTCAGCGTGACTCAAGGTGCAGGCTCCAGCTGCCACCTACACCTTGGGCAGGGAGCTGTCTGTGGGATTCCAACCCCCTCTCTTCCAACTGAGGGGGAGTCACACATGGGAGTTCCTGGAAGACAGCTGTGTCTGCAAAGGTGGATTGATCAGAACACGGAGAATTGGACTGCTGTAAGTCCAGAGCCAAACTATCTTGGGGCATCCTTAGCCTCTCCTTAATAGCCGTCTATTTCCCTAGGTCCATCCTTTCGACTGTGTGAACAAGGCCTTAGTTTCCACCAACCAAAGGGCTAAGGATGCTGTCAGATGGCACTTAAAGCCTCTAGCAGAGTTTCCCCTGCTTCCCTGTACCCTGCCTACCCATGGATCCACCAATATATGTGAAAAGTATTTTACTTTATGACTTTCTTCACTCAGATACTGTCGGAAGTTCATAAACTTGCTCCCTAATTGGAACACGCATTTAGGGAGGCCTAAACCTACGTTCTCAGGTCACGACCACTCATTTTTGATTCCAGAAGAAACTTTTTATCCCTTGAGCAGTTTCCTTCATCAACAGAGGACATACTGCCCCTCAACAGCAGAGAAAAAGGGAGAGAGAGACAGAGAGTGTGTTAGTTTAGGACCACATGTGGGTTAATTTCCAAGGTTAGCATTCACAGTCTTAGACTGTATGACTGCTCCTGAACTCCAGGGTCATTTCATGAACACGTTAAAAAGAGGCTGGGGAGTGAGTGACATGTTTGTCATACCAAGCCTGACCTCCTAAGTTCAGAGTCCCAGACCCATAGAAAAGCTGGGTACTGAAGTAATATCTACAATCCCAGGCTCCTACAGGAAATGGGAGACTGAGAAGGAGTGTGGGCCCACTAGCCTATTGCACACTGTGACCAAGGAGGTGGAAAGGGAGGGTCCTCCTCTGGCCTCCACATGCATGCTGTGGCAAACTTGTGCACTCCCCACCCCCCATCCCGAGACAATGGGTCCATCAATAAAGTGCTTGCCTTGCAAGTACAAGGACCTGGGTTCGATTCTAAGACCCTGTGCAAAAAAGCAGGGCACGTTGGTGTGTACTTGTGACCCCGGTATTGGGAAGGCAGAGTCAGGCTCACTGGCCAGCTGTCCTATCCACTCAGGTTGTTCCAGGCCAGTGAGAGACCCTGTCACAAACACAAGGTGGACAGAGCCTGAAGAAGTACACCTGAGGCTGTCCTTGGGATTCCACAAGTGTGCGCACACACACGCGCACGCACCTGTACACTTTGCACTTGAATACACGCACACAAACAGAAATTAAAAATTTAAAAAGTCACAAACGCTTAAGGAACAAAATATTTTTTTATTAAAAATTGTACTCATAGCACCGCTCTGTCTTCCTATAAGTTGAGGGGGAGGGTTCATTTTATCTTTAATGGGATCTGGTTTTCTGTGCCATTTCAGAAGGTTTCATAGGGAAAGCTTCGGGATTCTCCTAAGCTAGCCAGTGAGGCAGGGAGTTCCCTGCTGGGAAGCCCACACTGTCCTGGCCTCTCAGAAGGGTCCCTTGCTGTTAGTCTGTGGACTGGGGGCTCAGCAGGTGAGCAGCCATGCCGTGAGCCAGGAATCTTGGAATAAAGAAAATCCATGCTAAGAACCTCTATGCAAACACACTGTGCTCAGGATGATCCAGACCAAGTTCAAACACCACATCCAAAGAACTTTCCAGAACACACATCATCCACATGGGCTGTGGTTCCGCCTTCTCCCAGGGATCCAGGGGGACACTCCCCCCACACCACCACAAATTTTCCCGCTGGAGTCAGGGAGATGCTGAGGAAGGCCAGCAGAAGGTTGGGAGATGTTAGCCCAGATGCCGACATCCTCTCTGGATGTCTGTGCCCTGCAAAGCCACCCACAAGGCTCAGCAGACACACCGGGAGGAAAGGCTGCATGGGCTGAGCGGTCTCCACAGAGTCACTGAGGCTGCAGTGGGTAGACTTGGCTGCCACTCATCATTAGACACCCCTGGAGGTGACTTTTTCAAATGACAGAAGCCAGAGGGCATCTGTATCCTGCCTGTTTGGGTCTTTTCTCAGAACCCAGACTTGGATCCAATGTCCGTTTTGCAGCTGTGATGTGTCCATCCCTTTCCTACAGTGAGAGCTTAGGAAGGACATAATGCCCCGCGGCTCTGGGAGGCTGAAATCTAACTAAAAACCCCAACCCCTGCATTTGGTGCAGGGCATTTGAACGGGACAGAGTCCCCTAAGTCAGTGGTTCTCAACCCTCCTAATGCTGTGACCCTTGAATACAGTTCCTCATGTTGTGGTGACCCGCAACCATAAAATCATTTTCATTGTTGTTTCATAACTGCAGTTTTGCTACTGTTATGAATGTAATATAAATATCTGATATGCAGGACATCTGGTGAAAGGGCCGTTTGACCCCCAGAGGGGTCAGAACCCTCAGGTGGAGAACCGCTGCTCTAAGTGATGGACTTGATCACAGCTGTTGATCAGCAGTCACAGGGGCCGGGCATCCTGAAAAGACCTTTCCATAGAAAACGAGTTACTGATCACAGAGTGCTGTGAACTGCCGAGTCACTGTGAGGAAACCCAGCTGCGGCAGTCTCACCTCAGACCAGACCACCCCAAGCCTTCCCCATTGGTTAAAGCAAGCAAGTCCTATGGCTTAAGGGAGCAAAGCACAGTGCGGAGCCAGCCTGGTCCCTGTCCTCTGTTGGGTGCTGCCTTCCAGGAAGGTCAGGTGGTGACATGCGGTCTTCTGTCCATTCACTCCTTTGGGGCCAGGGAGGAGGTGGTGCTGTCCACTGATGTGGTCCCTCCCCCTCCTGTGGACCACGAGGGTGGCAGTCCCCACACAAAAGTGGCTTTGGGCAGAGCATTTAGGATTTTTGGTTTAGAATATTTTCCCTTCAGCTCAGAAAATGAAGGGAGATGGGGAGGGTGAAGAAGGGAGGAGGGGGGAGAGAGGGGGGGGAAGTGAGCAACAGGAGGAGGGAGAGAGGGGGGAAAGTGAGCAACAGGAGGAGGAGGGAGAGAGGGGGAAAGTGAGCAACAGGAGGAGGGAGGGAGAGAGAGGGGGGAAAGTGAGCAACAGGAGGAGGGAGGGAGAGAGGGGGGGAAGTGAGCAACAGGAGGAGGGGGGAGAGGGGGGGGAAGTGAGCAACAGGAGGAGGGAAGGAGAGAAGAGGAGGGGAGAGGACGGAGGGAGGGGAGAGAGGAAGTAAAGGAGGGAGGGTGAAAAGCTGGAGTGTGAGAAAGAGGGAGGGAGGGAAGAACGGGGAAACTGGGCGGCGGCGCACCCCTTTAATCCCAGCACTCGGGAGGCAGAGGCAGGCGGATCTCTGTGAGTTCGAAGCCAGCCTGGTCTACAGAGCGAGTTCCAGAATAGGCTCCAAAGCTACAGAGAAACCCTGTCTCGAAAAAAAACAAAAAACAAAAAAACAAAAAACAAAAACAAAAAAAGAAGGGGGGAAGGAAGGAAAAGGGGAGGGAGAGGGAAAGAAGGAACGAAGAGGAGAAGGGAAGAGGAGGGCTGGAATTTTTTTATTGTGGGTTTTGGAAAAACTGAAAGGCCTTTAATTTTTTTTTTTTTCTCCCAAGCAGAAAGAACTTCTGGTGTCCTGGGGCCATACCAGTAACTTCCTAGGCATCCGAGTCAAGACAAGATCCAAGTCCTCTGCCTCTCAGGGAAGGTAAAGGGCTACAAAGTCCCCTACTGGTGACATTAAACAGCCAGTCCCCTCCACAGGGTGCCAAGGTCACTGGGAGGACAGACCTTTCTCACTGGCTCTGAGTGCTCCAGGATGTGGTTTCACGGAGCCACCCCAGCTCTGGGCCACACCATGGCCAGAGCCAGCTGGTCACATCCAGATCCCAAGCCTGGGCTAGGGGCGGCAGGACGCTCATGGGGTCTGAGTGCCACTTAGCTGCTACTCTTTGCATTTAGCCAAAAACATTGAAATAGTGAAAATTAAAGAAAAATGTTTTCAGAAAACCTGTTAAGGCTAAAACGCTGGCCTTGGACGGCAGGGTGGAGGAAGCAGCACGGGGAGGGGGGGGTCAGAAGCGGGACATGGGGGGGGGAGGGAAGGGCTGTCCCCACTGTGCGCCGGTGTGGGGTGTGCTAGGTGACTCGTGGCCCGGGTTGTTTTCTCAGAGCCCATTGTTTTATTTGGAGACACGGTCGCTTCTCGTCTTTCCCACGTACAAAGCTGAACAATGAATTAAAAGGCACCTGGAGACAGCAAAGACGCATTCATTTCATGTGACATAGTTTAAAAAAAGATAAAAAGATTTAAAAAATACTCTGGTTCAACAATGCACACCTGCTACAAGCAACTGCAAAAACACGCGTCTGCGCCCCTCTCTTTGCTCAGCGGGGGTGGGCTGTGTGCTGTGTGCTGTGGTCACCAGAAGGACCTGGCTGGCCGTGGATGGGCCTGGGTGGCCTCCAGAGCCAGTTGGGGAGGGACTTCCTGTTCTTGTAACTGTCAGCTTGAGAGAACAGAGGAAGAGCGAGGGAAAAGCCCCAGGGTCGCGCCACCCGAAAGAGGGACTGCAGAGCTGAGCCCTCCGCGGCCCCTTGCGCAGAGGCATCGCGTGGCCCCTGGTGAGAACCGGACAGAACCCGCGGGGGGAGATCAACTGTCTGAAGCACAGGCGAGAGCAAGGAGCCTCAAGTCGTCCTAAGATGGAGAAAGTGATCCAGGCTGGCTGGTTCTCCAAAAGGAGGTAGAGAGAGAAGTGGGCCGCGGATGCGATTTACCTGTCCCCCTCCACCCTCCTGCCAGCCCTAGCCTCCCCGATGGTTTGGAGGCCTGAGAAGCCCAGGGTTGGGGTGTGTCGAGAGCGCCCCCACCGGCGGTGCCGAGCTAGTGCACCAGGGAGATACCTTCTCTTAAAAAGAAAAGAAAACAAAGAAACCTGCTTCCTGCAGCGATGTTACAAAAAGCCATTAAAAAAAACCTTCCTAAGTGAAACCTAGTTTTCACCAGTAGGTAAGATCGCTTATCAGAATTATTATTATTTTTTTGTGGAACAAAAAATTTCAGCTCAGTTATCGGAGTTGATTGTCTTAACAAAAATAGACTCCAGAAGTTCTGCACCCGTCTACCCTGATGGAGGCGTGACGTCACACGAAGGAGGAGAAGCCAGTGAGGGGGGCCCGGGCTCCGGGGCCAGCTGGTGTGTAGACTCCGCCCGCGCTCTGTGTGGTGATGACCGTGTGCAGGTGCGGGCCCGACTCGGCCCCTGCCACCGCCTCGTATCTGTGCGGTGCTGCGGCAGGGGGACGCCGCTTCCAGGAGTTGTAGTAGGTGGGGTCGCTCATGTAGTGGTTGACGAAGGAGTGCTTGGGCAGGGCTTCCTCGTAGTCTGAGTCGGAGGCCTGAGGATGGGACAGAGGGACAGTGTGAGCCACAGCAAGAAAGGGAGAAAGGGAGGGGTGAGGGAGGGTGATCTGGAAAGAGGGAGACTCCCATTGGTCAGCCAAGGTGGGGGTGGCCTGCGGGTCACCTGTTGTCGTCGGCTTTCTCCCTCCTGGAAGCCCAGGATAGGCCTGTGCTGCGGGCCGCCCTGGGAGAGGTCTACAGAGTCCCCAGTGTCTGTAAGCGCAGATGTTAATGGTGCGGTGTCACCTTAGCAGCCTATGGTGGTTTGAATGAGAATGTCCCCACAGGTTCATGTATTTGAACAACTGGGCCGCAGGTGTGTGGGGGGTGGAGGTTGAGGAGGCGTGGCCTTGTTGAGGGAGTATGTCACTGGAGGTGGGCTTTGAGTTTAAAGACTGGCTCCATTTCCACTCTGTCTCTCTGTCCCCTTCTCTCTCCCCCCTCCTCTCTCCCCTTCCCCCTCCTTGCTTCATTCCTGTGATTCCAGATGTGGGTCTCTGCTGTGAGATGTTCTGTATGGCAAATGTGTTGCTCTGATTGGTCAATAAATAAATCACTGATTGGCCTGTGGCCAGGCAGGAAGTATAGGCGGGACAAGGAGGAGAATAAAGCTGGGAAGTGGAAGGCTGAGTCAGAGAGACACTGCCAGCCGCCACGATGACAAACAGCATGTGAAGATGCCAGTAAGCCACGTGGCAAGGTATAGATTTATAGAAATGGATTAATTTAAGATGTAAGAACAGTTAGCAAGAAGCCTGCCACGGCCATACAGTTTGTAACCAATATAAGTCTCTGTGTTTACTTGGTCGGGTCTGAGCGGTTGTGGGACTGGCAGGTGAGAGAGATTTGTCCTGACTGTGGGCCAGGCAGGAAAACTCTAGCTACAGGTCTCAGCTTCCTGCTCCAGCTGCCATGCCTGCCTGCTGTCATCTTTTCCCACCATGATGGTGATGGACTCATCCCTCTGGAACCTTAGCCCTAATAAACTCTTCCTTCTATAAGCTGCCTTGGTCATGATCTTTTATCACAGCAATGGAAAAGTAACTAACACACTGAGTGACTAATACACTAAAAGTGACTAATACACTAAAAGTAACTAGTACACTAAAAGTAACTAATACACTAAAAGTAACTAATACACTGACTGAACTTCCTTCATCAATGTCCACCCAGGTAAAACGGATCCTTGGCTCCAATGCAGAAAGAATTCCAGGACCAAGCCAGTGAGAAGCATGGAGTTTGTTTTTATTTATTTTTGGCTGGTGTGTTTGTGCATGTGTGTGGGGGTTTACATATCCATCTGCTCACACGTGGAAGGCAGAGAGAGATGTTGTCAGAGATGTTGTTCCTATCCACCTTATTATTTTGAGGCAGGGTCTCTCAGTGGATCTGAAGCTGGTCATTTTACTTTGGTTGGCTGACTGGCTAGCAAGCCACCAGGATCCGTCTGTTTCTGTCTCCCAATGCTCAGCATGCTGCCATGCCCAGCTTTTATGTGGGTACTCACATTTTGAACTTGGGTCTTCTTGCTTTCACAGCAAAGTGAGCCATCTCCCCAGCCCAAGTTGGAGTTTATTTAAAAAGAAAAGATATATATTTAAAAGTTTTATTTTGGGACTGGAAAGATGGCTCAGTGGTTATGAGCACTGGCCACCCTTCCAGAAGACTGAATTTCCATTCCTAGCACCCACAGGGCAGCTCACAGCCATCTGTAACTCTACTCCCAGGCAATCTAACACCCACTTCTGGCCTCCCTGAGTACTACATATCCATGGATACAGACACATGCAAGCAAAACACCCACCCACATAAAATTAAAAGATTCATTTTTAATTTTGCACATATGTGTGTCTCTCTTAGTGTGTTTGTGCATGTGTATATGCAGTTTGTGTGGAGTCCAGAAGAGGGCAGCAGACCCCTGGAAACGGAGTTAGAAGCAGTTGTGAGCTGCTTGACATGGGTCCTGGGAACCAAATAAGTGAGGTCGCAGGTGGGTCCCAAGTGGCTCCTGACAGGACTCCAGTTGATAGAGTAAAATTAGCTTGGGGGATGCAGGGTTTTTTGTTTTTTGTTTTTTTTTTTAACTCCCAGAGAATGTCTGGGAGAGGAATGAGGCCCCACCTGTGGTCATATGCATTCAGACTTTAAGCCTGGTTTATCGCTGTTTGATATAAAATACCTTTATATGAAGGGAGCATTGTCTCTATGTCCACAAGCTTCATAGTAAATGTCAATCATGCTGCAGTTATTAACTATCAGCTGGTGGGAAGCTCTGGGGAGACTCCCAAGTGTGTGTGTGTGTGTGCCTTCTCTTTCCTTCCTTTGCCTATCATCCTCCTCTTCCTCCCTTGCCTCAGAACACACACTTATGGATGCCTGGGAGTGCCCCCTGGCCTTTGATCTGCAGGCAAACAAGACATGAGCCGCTGGGGGACCAAAGAGAAAAGTTCAGCATGCCGGGGTGGGGGGGGGCACCCTCAGTGGCCTCTTGTCACAGACCCACACTGCCCACAGAGGCTCAGTGGGGAAGCTGCTGGACTATGCCAGTGCGTGCATTTTCATCTGCTCTGGTGCTGGGGCCCCAAGCACACTCCACGGCAGCCTGGAGAGCCCTGGTCTCCTGGGGGTGCTGAGGATCGTCCCTTGGAGGGTCTCGGTTCATTTTATACAACAAGCCAGCAACACCTGTAAGAATCATTCAGTCAGCTTCCCCTTCCTCCTTCCCTCCTCCCCTCCCTCCTCCTTCCCTCCTTTCTTCCCTTCCTCCCTTCTGCTTTTGAGGAAGGTTCCACTCCGCAGTGCAGACTGGCTTTCCACTTGTGATTTCCATGTTCTTACCTCAGCCTCCAGGTTCTAGGATAAAAGGTGTGAGCCAAAGCAATGTCGGGCTTAGTCTATGTGTTTGCTCTTTTCTTAAATTAAATAAAAATTACTTTCTGCTCTTTGTGTTGTCATGGAAAAGATCACTAAAGGAGACGGAGGCTGAAGTGGATTTTACTGAGTCTGTGGAGGACTCCTGGCTCTCCGTTGGACACCCAGTCCTTCTAGACACGGATTTGGCCTCCACAGCTGGGGGTGGGGGCTGGGACCAGGATTTGTGGCTGTGTTTAAAATACACCTTCCAGATGTTTTCTAGGGGTTTGAGGGTTTCTCGGACTCAGGGGAATTGCATGTCTTTGGTATTATAGGGAAATACAAGAAAGGACTTTAAGTGACACCTCATATCTATAAAAGTCAAGTTGTATGTAAACTAGGGTTTGACAAGGGGGCAGAGACAGGCAAGAGCAGGACTCTGTGTGGCTGTCTGTTCTGTGAAGTCTTCAGAAACTGTCTTAGATTCTAAAATCCTGGAGGAGGACACTGAGATCCACAGAAGCCATCTTTTTTTTCATGGGGACGTCACTGGGTCCTCAGAATTGGATGAAGGCCGTTTTGTTCCCCAGGTCCACAAACCAGGGCTAACTTTATTCTCCTCTGAGGTGACACGCAAGATTTGAGATTGAGTCCGTCTCCTTATTTTCTGGCTGAAGAACCAAGATCCAGAGATTCAAATGAGCTCCTCAGGCCACGCCCACAGGGGACTCTCAGCCAATGACAGGGAATCGAGCACTTGTTGCAAGCTCCCAGACAATTTAGGTCAGTTCCATTGGAGACTGGGAGGCTGAGATTGTGTGGGTGGGTCTTGGCACACATGGACCAAAGCAATGAAGGGGTCACCTACCCCAGTGGAACCACGGTCTGTAAATCCTGCCTCTGTGCGCTCGGCTAGCATCCACCCGGAAACCCTTCGGGCCTCCTTCTGCTTTCCTGAACCTCCTGCCAGCCCTTTTCTCACAGCTATGGGCTGGAGAGAAAGAAGCAGGGTCAAGAGCAGGTTGGACCTATGATGGGCTAGAATGGACTGCTACCGTTTTGTGGAAGTCTGTGTGTGTGTGTGTGTGTGTGTACATGGATATGCATATGTGTGGGTGTATGCACACAGAAGGCAGAAGACAACTGGGGTGTCATTTTTCAGGAGTCATTCATCTTGGTTTTTGAGACTGGGTCTCTCACTGGGGCCTGTTGCAAGTCTCTATTTGGACTGGGCTAGCCAGACAGCCCAGTCCAAATCGAGACTTGCAACAGAGTCTCAGAGATCCTCCTGCCTCTGCTTCCTCAGCACTGGGAGTGTAAGCATGTGTGGCCACACTCAGCTTTTTACATATGTGCTCAGATCCTCATGCGTGTACTGCAAGCACCATCCTGACTGAGCTCTCTCCCCAGCCTGAGTGTGTCCAGAATACTGTAGGGACAAACATATGCTGTGACTCGTGCCCATAGACGTGCATGAGATTAACCAAATGCCTTTCATTTATAAAATGTCTTCACAATTTTAATTAGGGATCAAATATGAAATGTCCCTGACAGGCTCGTGTGCTGAGCACTTGGTCCTGGCTGGTGGTGCTGTTTTGGGGGAAGTTTGGAACCTTCTGGACATGGAGCCTAGCTGGGATACGGGGGGCGGGGGCACAGAAGGAAAACTTGAGGGTTCGAGGCTGATTCCACTTTTCATCAGAGTTCTCTGTTTCCTGATCCATGGAGATGTGAAGAGTCCAGCTGAATGCCCCTATCTGTGGATGCTGTCATGTCTGCACAGCCATGATGGATGGACCCTCACTGAGGCACAACAAACTTCTTCAGTGAGCTCTTTATGCCAGGATGAGGAGCAGAGTGACTTAACATGACTTCTTATGTCCGCCCTTGAGCATTTCACGAGCCAAAGATGGGGATAATACAGAGAGAGGGGTCTGTGGCTAAGGTGGGTGCTTACAAGGGGACCATGCAGGAGACTGTGATGGGTGATCTTAATGGTCAGTTTTGTGGGAATTAGAGTCACCAGAGCAACAAGTCTCTGGGCATGTCTATGAGGGATTATGTAGATTAGATTAATTGAGACAGAAGACCCAACCTAAACATGGTCAGGCAGTATTCCATGGGGTCCTGGACTGAACAAAAA